ATGTTTATGTCCACATGACAATATCCATAAAGCAATATCCACAGGGACATGATTGTTAGAGATTGAATGATGTACATGGCTTTGTCATTACAATTAATAAGTCTCAAGATGTGTACAACATCTGATATGTACAACTTTGGATGGACAATTGGTAATGGACGGTGTGCGATGGAAAACAAATCGGATAAAAAAACTAAAATCGATGATTAAAGATTGATTTGTATTTCTAATTATATCCACATGATCACATCCATAAGAAAATATTCACATGGACAAAATTGATGGGCTGTAGTGGACAACAAATCAAACAAAAAAACAAAAAATCAATAATACACATTGATTCTTCTTTATGATTTTATCCACATGCCAATATTCAACAGACGATATTCACATGGATATGATCACTGGAGAAGTGTATCTAGTGATTTTTGTCTCTGAGTTTATGTCCATCGGCACATGTCCATGTGGCACTAATGATGTCCATGAGCTTGTGTCCATACACAAGTGTCCATTAGATTTTGTACACACAAATGAACACAAATATATAGACGTTCGTACAATTATTAATATTCACTTCTTCTTCCCCATCTTCCCCATCGCATGAACATGTTTACTAGCTCTTATATGTCCACTTGGTCATGTCCATGCGTCGGTGTCTATTTATTTCATATTAGCATGTTCTTGCCTGATGCACAAACTTCAAAACGTCTATATGATTGAGAAGGAATAAATCTGGTTTTGTACTTTAAGAAGAAGAACTCTGAAACGTCTATGGTGGTTGAGGAGGAGTAGATCTGAAATTTTCAGTTAAAGAAGAAGAACTATGAGACATTTATGGTGGTTGCAAATGAGTAGGTCTGGATTGTAGAATAGTAGATCTGGGTTTTGCTCTAATTTTGAAACCATAAATTTTTTGTTCTTGTTTTTGTTTTGCAATCAGAGAAATTGACTTCGGTCAACACAAACCCATATCTCTGTTATTAATGGTAAAGATCTAGAAATTCTCTAGATTTCTTTCACTACCTGATTAATCAAATCCAAATGCTTATGCCACAGCTTTCTATAAGTAATGAAATTCAGAAACTCGAATATCATCTCCAACAATCAAAGAAAGAAGAAGAAGAAGAAGTTGTTCACGATTTTTAAAAAATGGATTCAGTAAGAAAAAAAAAATTGAGCTTTATAGATTAAAAATCAATAAGAACAGTTTCGATTTTCTATACACTTCACACACACACAAAAGTGGTTGTAAAAAGTGCCTATAATGTAATCATAAGTGCTAAAAGTGTCTTATACTGTAAATCACTCCACAAATAAATGTGTCAAAGACGATAACTAGATAAAAAACTAAAAAAACAAACACACATACAAGTACCAAGCATCACCATCCCTTTTATTCAACTTAATAGCTTACTGCACCCAACCATTATTATGCATCCAACGACTACAATATTCATCATCGTCTTCATCTTACAATGATAACCAACACATCTTCCACTCTCTCAAATATCTCTTTCTCGAACTTTATTTTCACCTTCAAACATCTTCTCAATCTCTTTTCTCTATGTTGTAACTTATTTCAGCTCTTCCTCAAGTCTCACATTTTTCAATTGCAATGCCTCAATCTCGTTTAAGAGCGCCTCATTAATCTACTTGAAAGTGTGGTTATCACTCATAAGCTACAAGACATGAACCATCCACAACAATAAGAATTAAAGCATCATAATAATAAGATATTTAGTGGAATTATTTTCCGAGATACAACATAGCCAGATCGATAATATCGGCAGTAAGGATTGTGGTCGGACTTTAATATTAACGCCACAATTTGATCTCCACACTAACATCTCTTAGGCACATCGAAAACTCTTCCTCTCAATCAACCATTTAAAGTTCTACTTGAAGCTCCAAACAAATTACTCATGACCGATTATAACTTAGACAACAATCAAAAACCCAGAATTAATAGACATTCTATATGATGAAATAATCATTTTAGGGTGTGAAAATCAAGGAGGAGACAATGAAATTATATACCAACAATAGAGATATACTCGATTTCGGCAATAGAATTGATGAACTAAAGATTGTGGGATGATACAACTAGGTTTAAGAACTAGATTTTTGATTTTTGACCAATGAGAGTCGGGCTTTTGTAGGCAATTGGGTTTAGGTTCAGCTGGTCAGGTTTATGTTTGACCAATCATGTTTACGTTTCAGATTTGGTTAAGTGACAACATCTAATGATTTGATATAAGTTTAGACTTTAACCATTAAAACTAGCATTTATATAGATCTGGATCTTTAATTTTTTCTTGAAGATATATAGCATAAAAGCATAGTTCAGAAGACATATGATGGTATGTGATAGTTCTTGTGAGAAAATAATCCATTTTCCCTTAAAAATACGAGTAATTCTATAAAAATATACTAATATTCAAATTTGATGCAAATTCAGCTTGGTTTTTATGGGTTTTCTTTTCTTAAAAATTAAAATGAACAATATTTTATTTAGAAGAAATATATTATAAATTTTGATGATACAAAATTAAAAATATAAACTTTTGATAAAAAAATCAAAAAAGTTAAAAACGAGTTTAGCTTTTAAAATAATCCAAACAATGGACTTTAAATTAGTTTTCTCAAATATGTAATTAAATAATACTAAATTCCATCATTAATTTGAAATACAACTAATTTTATTAAAATACAGTATTCGGGTTTAATGCAAATCTATTTTGGTTTTTATTGATTTTGGTCAAAAATAATTTCCTTAAAAATAGAAACAAGTAATGTTTTTATTTAGTAGAAATTTTATTATATAAAGTTGAATACGTCAAAGTTAGTAATTCATATGATTGCGACACTTAGCGAGACAATCGATCAGATTTTGACATATATTACGATTAAATTAAAAATAAAAATAAATAAAAGGATAGATTTCAGTTTAGAAAAGAAAAATAACTTAAAAATCTAATCTTAAAAAAAAATACATTTGAAAAAAAGTTAATAAAAGGAGATATTTCAATTTGAAAAAGGAAAAAAAAGCTAAAACACTAATCTTTAAAAAAGAAAAATACAATCCACATCTATTTAAACACATAAAATCTTTCATAATTTTTCACAAAAAAAAATAAGCTCTTTAAGATTATGATTCGTTTGGTACTAGGAGTTTGGCCCGCACGCATGTGCGGGCATAAACAGTTTTAAAAATTTAATTACATAAATATCTAAATTATTATAAATATTTTAATTTTTGTAATGTATAAAAAATTAGGTAGGGTGATTAAATTATAGGGTCTAATAGCAAAATATGGTATAATTTTAACTAAATATTTCATTATAACAAAAAGCCTATTTTATTATGTTAAAGGGTCAAATGAGTCAGACCCGTGGATAGCTGGTTGAGCGGGTTACCTGCTGCGGATTTGCGGGTCAGGCGTACATAGCTGCAAATTTCATCATTTTCTTCGTCTTCAATTAATCTTCCTCAATTTATCCAGTTATTTAGCCTTTAAATTCTCGAAGACTTCTTTGTATAAAATAAATATTTAAACTAAAATAAATTAAACACAGAAAATTATTTGAACTTAAATATATTCCAACTTTTCTTTGTATATCTGTTCAGCTTATGTTTCATGTGGACAACAAAAATGGGCTCTTTAGTTAAACATTGTTAGATTAATGTTACTTTGGATTATATAGTCGGTGCATGTGATGAAGACAATTCTCATAATCTTTGTACAATTTGGTGATACAATTAATGTTGATTTGGATTATATTGCGGAAAGACGATCTCAAGAAGACTGTTAAAAGTAGGTAATCATACTTCGGTTAACAAAACATAGTATACTCTAACTTCTCTTTGTATATTTTTATAGCTTCTGTTTTGTGTGGACAACAAAAATAGGTTCTTTAGTTAAACATTAATTGTTAGATTAATGTTATTTTAGATTATATAGTTGGTGCATGTGTGAAGATATAGTTTTTATATAATTTAAAGTGTACAAATCTGTGCATGTAATAAAAAAATATAACATATCTTTTGTGCATGTGATAAAAAACGATGGTTTACCATTTATATTAATAATTAAATATTTTATATTTTTCAGTTTTCATAGAATAATAATTTGAACTAAAATAAATTAAACACATAATTTTTTTTTTGCCATGTCATAATCCACATGTGTTAGCAAATGCCATGTCACAATTACATCATCATTATACATCATCATTTCCATGTCACATTTAATTAGGTTAGATTGATATTTTTAACCAATGAAATTAAAACAAATCAGCATATTTCATTAAACTATGACTTCAACTGGTGACCAAGGGAATGAGGGGGAATAATGAATTCCTCTTCGTTCCTTAAAATTTTTACCATTAGCTAGTAATAATATTTCTCTATCATTCCTTCTTATTCCTTGTCATATAAGGAATTATAGAACAAATATATTCCTTATTAAAATTGGGGAGGAACAAAATATATTTATTTACTTCCTTATATATTTTTCATTCCTATTCATTCCTTTTCTTTTGTTTCTTTCATTCTTTTCCTTTTCATTCATATTCCTTTTTTTATTGGTCACTAGTTAAAGCATACATTGTCAATTAATAGGTAGATGATTCCAAATTCTTTATCCTTTAAGATTCGTTTGCTGAATATTATATATATTTAAAATGTTTTCAGTATTCAATAATTAGACAATTTTAAAATAATTACATGCAAAATTTGTAAAGCCGGATTATATGAAAATGAAATGCTAAATGCTAATGATGAGTTCAATGAAGAGGAGAATCAGCGAAATTCATGTAAAAAAACTTTTGATACGAGTTTTGAAAAGCAAAACTTCTTTAGAAAGCAAAAAAATTATATATAAGAAATGTATGTGAAAAAAAAACTTTATTTGATTATAAAAAGTTAATCAGGAGAGAGTTAATATAATTTAAGAATTCAAATTGTATACCCAAATTTTTAATGCAGCAAAACATAAACAATGAAAGTTGAATAATAAATGAAGTAAAAGTTAATATTGCTATAGAACTGCAACAAACTTTGTGTTTTGAATATTTTAACTGAAAACAAATAAGAAATAAACAAATTTAAGATTTTATATTTTTAATATATTATTTTTTATTAATGATCTGATACATATATGCGGGTAATCTAGTCGAAGTATATATTTCGATGATACAAACTTTAAAATATAACTTTTGACTCAAAATTGAAATGGCTAAAACACGGGTTTGGCTTTTAAAATAATCAAACCAAGCGGTACCCAACGATTTTATAATCCAATTCTGGTTTCACTTCGGTTTAACTATTTCAGTTTGGTTTGGCTGGGTATCTTCGATTACTATTTTTTGTAGATTGGAGACAATTTTCCATAAAGATAAACAAAAATAAAATAATTAGACGTACAATTATACTTCTACATTCTACAAAAAGCACTTTTTCCTCATTTTTTTCCTCTCAAGTCGCTCTCTCTCTCTCTCGCTTCTACTCGAGATTCAGCTGTAAAACCCTAACCAGCGCCATAGCTTAGCAAGAGAGGCAAACAAGAGGATCGTCTCTCGATTTTCCTGTTAACCATCGTGTTCTGTTCAAGAAGAATCTAAGGTAAACTCTATCTCGGAAACCTGTTCGAGAAATGGCTTACTTCTCTACTCTTCTCGTTTTCGTATTTTACTTGATCGATTGAATTCCACAACTGTTCTTGCTCTTAGATCGGTTCTCTGTAACTCATATTTGTGCTTACTTCGCAAATCTGCGTCGCATTTCGTTTTTACGGCCAATCGTTTTCGTTTTAGTTAGTAGCGAACTGATTTCAGTGATGGAATTCGCATTTTGTATAGGATTTTCAATTGGTTTGTTCATCTAGATCAGAGATCTCTCTCGTATCACTGTTTTTGTTTGTCCGTCTCCAGTTTGCTGAGAATATGAGATTACATTGGAATTTGACTGATCACTAGGGTATAACCTAATTATTGATGCGTGATTTTGTTTTCCAGGAGAAAAAATTAGGCTATGGCGGCGATGTTAGGGGCACAGCAAGTTCCAACAGCAACTTGTACTCCAGATATTGTATGATCCAGTTTCTTTTTTCGTTGTTTTCATGAAAGTTTCAGTTTCTTAAAATTGCTATTTTCATATTTGTTTCTTCTGTGTGTTTATAGGTTGGGAATGCATTTGTGCATCAGTATTATCACATATTGCATCAATCTCCTGAGCATGTTCACAGATTTTACCAAGAGATTAGCAAGTTAGGCCGTCCTGAAGGGAATGGTATAATGAGCATCACTTCTTCCTTGCAAGTGAGTACACTAACTTGCTTTCGTTTTTGTGTTCTTGAAGTTTGTTTTGACTCTCAAGATGAAAACTGAATATGTTTGTGTGAGCCTCTTGGAGACTATTTAAGTTGTTTGTGTTCAATGGAAAGTGTTGGAAGAACTGAATATGAGTATGTGTATATACTTTGAGCAGGCTATTGACAAGAAGATAATGGCACTTGGCTATGGTGTAATCGGCGCGGAGATAGCAACCGTGGACACACAAGAATCTTACGGCGGTGGTTTTCTCGTACTGGTGACTGGGTATTTGACCGGAAAAGATGGTGTGAGGAGGACGTTTACGCAGACCTTCTTCCTTGCTCCACAGGAGACAGGATACTTTGTCTTGAATGATATGTTCCGATACATTGATGAAGCCAACCAGATTCCGGCGAATAACATCCAAGTTCCTGTCAACATTCACCAGGGTTAGTTGAACCTAGCGTTTGTATTTTCCTTCCTTCAAGTTTAATAAACTCTAAGTTCTTGGTTTTTATAAGCGTTGGTTAATCTTCTTGTGCCTTAGATCAAGCTGCTGCTCGAGAGATTCCAGATGACTTTGGTCAGGAGAAATATGTTCAAGAGAATCATGCTGTTGAGCAATCTGATGTGTTGTTGTCCAAGAGCATCAGTGGGCCTGAAGTGTTCACTCCCTCCGAAGATGAACAAGTATCAGCTACAGAAGAAGCTCCGGCGCCTGAAATAGTTCATGAAGCTCCAATTAATGTGCAGAAGGTTGAAGAATCTGATTCTAGAACCGGCGAAGTTCCAAAGAGATCTTATGCATCCATTGTAAGTAATTCTCTACACTTTTTTTAATCCGATGTTAGAATTTTGACTACTTTGCCCTCAAGATTTGACGCCATTGGTATATACGCAATCTTGATATGTAGGTGAAGGTTAATAAAGAGAATGCTGCACCAGTTCCTGCTTCGAGAACCCCAACAAAGGTGGTGGAACCAAAGAGACAAGAAGAGCAAGCCCTTCATGTCCCTCTACCAACACCATTGTCTGAGAAATCAGATTCAGGAGCAAATGTTGCTGTAAATGGAAACGATCAAGATAACGAAAGAGGTAAATGCTTTCCCTTCTTTTTTTTTTTTGTTGTTTCTTAACGCTAAGCACATACTCAGATGCAATCATTCTCATATTTCTTCATTCCGTAACAGCTCCAGGTCCATCCATCTATCTAAAAGGCTTGCCTCTTGATGCATCACTAACTTTGCTTGAGAATGAGTTTCAAAAGTTTGGACCCATAAGAGCCAACGGAATTCAAGTAAGAAGCCAGAAGGTAAGCAAAAGTCTCATCTTTATTATTAGCTTAACTACTACACTAAATCACTGAGTTATAAATCTTTCGAGTATTGTATTCTACAGGGATTCTGTTTTGGTTTCATTGAGTTTGAATCCGCAAGCTCAATGCAAAGCGCGATCGAGGTAATAATAATAAATCAAATAGCATTACTATTGAATTTTTCAAGGCTAACGAATTGTTATGGGCTTTTTCAGGCATCACCTATCATACTCAATGGGCAAAGAGTAGTAGTGGAAGAGAAACGATCTACCGCAAGAGGCAAGTTTTGCATTTTTTTTCAACATTTACTTAAAAGAGTAACGAAACTCTCATGGAACCTGAACAGATTTGTTGTTGAAACAGGGAACTATAGAGGACGATCAAGTAGGCCACGTTCAGAGTTTGGTGTAGGCACAGGCTACCGAAACGAAGGTGGTGGAAGAGGTCGTGGTGGGAGCTTTGGTGGTGGAAGAGGAGGAGGCTATGGCCGGAGCGAGTTCAACGGATATGGTGGTAATAACAGGGGAAACAATAGAGGAGGATACGCGAGCCGAGCAAATGGTGACGGTGGTGACGGTGGCGGTGGTGGGTTCCGGAGGGTTAATGGACATGTGAGACGCGGTGGTGGAGTTGATGCTAATGGTAATGGAGCTACGAAACCTGTGGATGCTCCTCCTCGCGTTTCTGTCACTGCGTAAATGTGCGTCTCAAAGGAGAAAAAGAGATATGGCTCGTATTGTTCTTAGAGAGAGTTTAGGCTTTTAGGGATGTGACTAAAAAAAAACAACTATTATTAATCTTCTCTCTGACTCGTCATTTTGTTGATTGGAAGTTATATTTCAGAGCCAGTGAGTTTCTTCAGTTCTCTCGCTTAACTAGGAATCGTTCTATCGACAGAAATCACTTTCTAATTTTTGTATAGGAGACTTTGTGTTCAATCTTAGATTAACCGAATTGATCCGAACCAAACCAAAATAATTGATCTAAAACGCGAACTGTAAACCAAAATGGATTTACTTTCCTATAACCAAAAAACTAACCGAAACCGAACTCAAAATAAAAAAACGATTTAAATCAATTATTTTTTTTGTAAAGATTCCATTTTGTCTTCGATATATGTGATTGGACTTTAATCTCATATGATCTCTAGTACCGCCAAAAAAATCTAACTGCCCCTCTCTAAATCTTACGGTTCCTCTCTGCAATGAATTGACTGTTTAGTCCTTAATGAATAAACAAAAAAAAATCAAAAAAAATAAAAAAGAATTTCGGGTGGTTTGGTAAGAAATTTAATTCAAACCAACCTAAAATTAATTGTCTAAACCAACCAAACCAACCACCAAAATTTTTGCACCTCTCGTTGTTCCCTCATCGTCTTCTTCCTCTCATGTTTCCACCATTAACAAAATCAGAGGCATGAAATTAAAGGTTAGTTGTTGCTGTTTCTTATACTATTTTCGATTTCTTGATTGAATTATCAAGTTTATGTCATAGGCAGAGCAAATAATACATAATTTCTTCTCAATTAGAGAATTTCATAGTAAAGAAAATTTTGATTTTTTTTTTGCTCATTGGAGCGGCTGAGCTAGTTGGGTAAGGCTATTAGAAACTGATATTGTTAATTAAATATGATATCTTGGTTAACTGAGCAATGAATCGTAAAAACTAGTGATGATTCGTATGATGAACCAAACTTTCTGGGTACTACTGGGTACAACTAGCACAACTGGACATATTAGTACGAGTAGGATCAACCAAACTTTTTGGATACAACTAGCATAACTGGACATATTAAGTGAATTTATTACGACTAGGATTAACCAAACTTTTCTAGGTACTACTGGGTACAACTAGCACAACTGGACATATTAAGTGAATTAATACGACTAGGATGAACCAAACTTTCTGGGTACTACTGGTATAACTAGCGTAACTGGACATCTTAAGTACGACTAGTAAAACTGGTACAACTATGATAAGATTACCTTACGATTGTTTCGTTCTTTTCAGGAGAAATGAGTAGCATTGGTTGCACAGTCATATGTTTTGATTATGGGGGTTCTATTCAAAAGATGGTGATAAAGTTATTTGGAATTCTGTAGAAGATGAGATTCACACTTTAGTGATGAGGAAATCTTTGGAGGATGTCACTTATCTTGGATTAGTAGAGGGAATTTGCAGAAAGGTTTTGATAGATGCAGCTACATCTCAGCTGAAAATTAGTTACTATCCAATGGTCTTGAACACGAAGAAACCATCATATATTTGGAATGACGAAAATGTTTTTGGTTATCTACTACAAATGAGTAAGGATCAATGTAGAAGTGTTCTACTGTGGAGTTCATCAAGGATGTTGATCAAAGTCATGGAAGCGTGCATGTTTCAAGAGAGGATCATGGAGTTGACGTTGATGTAGGTCCAAGTAATGATGAGATGTTTTCTACCGCTAGAGATGGTTTAGAAATACCGGACAGTGAAATGCAAGACAATGAAATGCCAGACAATGAGATGCAAGAAAATGATACAGATCCTCTACAAAGATATGAGCTCGTGTATGATGATGATACAGAAGTCAGACATTCTGATGGAAACTCGCAAGTAAGTCATGGATGGGAAGATGGTTTAGATATATATATAAAGGTCAAGAATTTGACACTAGGCAGGGACTGCAAGCTCTCCTGCAGAAAGGTGCACATGAGAATGGTTTTGAGTATGAAACGAAAAAGTCTGATCCCACACGTTTCGTGGTAAAATGTTGGGGAGCAAAAGAGGGATGCAAGTGGGGTTTAAGAGCTTCTGTGCATATGAACTCAAATAGTTTCAGTATTGTCACTTACAACAAGGTGCACACATGCTCTCGGGTTACTACAAGTACAATCAGACAAAAAAGGAAAGGCACACCACACTTAGTTGCAACTGTTTTGGCTGAAGACTATCCAGGTCGATTCGACACACCAGATCCAAAAACGCTGATCAATATGGTTCAAGGCAGGCTTGGCGTGAAAGTATCATACTCGACAGCGCTGAGAGGAAAAAACAAAGCTGCTAATGAGGTGCAGGGAAGTTCTGAGGAGAGTTATCGGTGGCTATATTCTTATTTGTACATGCTAGAGAAAGTGAATCCGGGTACACAGACTTGTGTGGAATTAGATGAGCAGAAAAGGTTTAAATATCTATTCTTTGCATTGGGAGCTTGCATAGAAGGGTTTCTATCGATGAGGAAAATCATCATTATAGATGGAACCCACCTGAAGAACGTATATGGTGGAGTTCTAATCGTCGCTTCAGCTCAGGATCCTGATTATCATCATTATCCCATTGCTTTTGGTGTAGTTGATGGTGAGAAAGATTCAAGTTGGACGTGGTTTCTGAATCAGTTGAAGTCAGTAACACCAGATGTCCCTGGAATGGTGTTTATTTCGGATAGGAATCCAAGCTTGATCAAGTCAATAAGGGAAGTGTTCCCTCTGTCTCAACACGGGTATTGTGTAAGGCATTTGTCACAGAATGTGAAAGGACACGTTGCCACCCACAGAGATGCATGTGCGAAGAAGTTCATCGAGTGCGCTAAAGCTTATACAGAGGTTGAGTTCGGAAAACTCTATAGTGCTTTTAGGATGAAATATCCATCTGCTGCCGAGTATCTAGACAAAAGTGTTGATGAGAAAAAATGGGCAAAATGCTATTTTCCAAGAGAAAGGTACAACATAGATACCACCAATAGTGTAGAATCTATCAATGGTGTTTTCGTAAACGCAAGAAAGTACTCGCTGTTGCCAATGATTGATGTAATTGTTGCCAAATTGGCTGAATGGTGGAACATCCATAGGCAGAGTGCCGCTGAAGTCCCACTGTCACAGAAGCTTGTGCCTTCCGTGGAGAACGAAATGGATCTGAGATGTGTGGATGCAAAGAAACTCATGGTGCAAGAGTTAAACAGCTATCTCCATGAATACAATGTGATTGGGCTTGATGGGAAGAATTATTTGGTTGATATGACTAGGAAAACTTGTTCTTGCAAGTATTTTGATATAGATAGATATCCATGTGTGCATGTAATTGCTGCTGCCATCCATATGAGCAGAGATAGGGAACTTCATCTACAAGAGTTTTGCTCCAAATATTATTTGGTAGAGCTATGGGCATTGGCATACTCCAGGATAATCTATCCAGTTCCTCATATGTCTGAATGGGTTGTACCTGAAGAGATACAAGCACAAGAAGTCTTACCTCCGGAATATAAAGTAAAGAAAGGAAAACCGCAACAGAAAAGATTCCCATCAGCTGGAGAACATCGTGGAAGAGGAAGAGGAAGAAGAGGTAGAGGAAGAGGGAGAGGTGGACGCTGGACTCAATGGTTTGGGATTGATGGAAGTGAAGAGTAATTTATGTCTTTGTTTTAAATTATTTGAACTATGTGTGCAACTTTGTATGACCGAGACTTGTATCCATGTTATTTCTATCAGGTATGACTAGGCACCACTAGTACAACTCTATATTCCGCGTCTAATATGTCTGGTACGACTGGTGCGACTAGTACCACTCGTTTCAAGTATAACTAGTTCAACTACATTTTAGTTGTACTAAAGTCCAACTGGGAAGACTGGTACGACAATGCTTTCTACAAAAATGTCAATAACACAATTTGTAAATGTATTTGTAAACATTTTTCCATATAAAATAGGCCATAGAACATTTGCAAACATATTTGAACATTTCATAGTTAAATAAATTTGATCCACGAAAATGTTTGATCCATGAAAATGTGTTCTCTACACAATCTACCTTATACTTTTAAGGTTACTTTGTAAATCTTAACCATACAAACATGAAAACCAAGAAAATTTGTATTTTTATACTAGTTATAGCATTAGAATATTAGTTTATTTACAAAATTTTACAAGTACAGCTAAAAATGTTTAATTTAGGTATGATACTACTGATTACAAAATTTTACAACTTTATGTCTTTAGGGTACAACTCAAAACTGGGTACAACTATGTTATAAAAAAACTGGGTTCAATTTTTTTTTGACGGCGCAAACTTGCAAAGATATTCATTTCCTCTTTTGACGGCGCACGTGACTTCATATTTTATCCATCTTTAACTTCATTTTAAACATGTTTTTTTTGCATGCACACGTTTTTTTTGCTGCCACACGTTTTTAAAACTCAGATCTAGTTGGTCTAGTTCTGCTAGTCGTACCTTTTAATTCAACACATAAAAAAGACTTGCATAAAATATATATGTCCAAATCCTGAAAAACACAAAGACAAATTCTAACATAGCAGATAATGACACAACATAAGTTCAAAGGCCTAAGTTACTTAATAACAATCCTTCACCAAACGTGAACGAGTAACCTTCCTTTTTCGCTTGGGAGTCTTACTCTTCTTAATTAATTTCTTTGCTGCTTGGGCTTGAAGACTAGGTCGTTTCTTGATTTTCACTTTCCTAGGAGTTTGGACTGTATCGGCATCGTCTCCACCTAACAAAAACAAACAAAAATCGATGAAACTGATTATCTCAAAAATAAATCTCCAATGGTTTGGCTCATTAAGGAAGATAAATCTCCACTTACCAGCTAGAGCCTTTTCCATAGCCTTATCCACAGCCGCTAACACTATCTCCGCAGCTGCACTAGCCTCAGCCGCCACAGTCTCCACGGTCTTCGCAGCCTCCATCATCTCCGAAGCTG